TATATGTACATGTGAGTATGAAATAATGTTTCCACATAAAAGCAAGTTCAATGTGTGGCCATTGACAGCCAGCCATCTATTGGTTAAGGTGAAGGCGCTAATTGCTGCTGGGAGCCAACCAATTTGTCATGCCGCAAATTTACATCAGGCAACTTGCACCCCGCATAGCCAATGCATGCGCGTCAAATAAAACAAAGTATATCTTATTTTTTATTGCCAAAAAATTTATTGGCAACTGGTTTCAGGCAGCCAACGGTTGTCCACWTTTTTTATAATTACTAAATATTTGCCCAAATTGCTTTATGATATTTGTTTGCATTTTATCGCGTGAATAAAAGCAACATTTGCTTATAATTAAAATGTTGCAAATTATTGTCGAAATTTTTATTAAATAAATTATAATTTTTTACCTAAACCTTATTGCACAAGCCACTTTATGCACTTAAGCACCGTGTGACCACACAGAAGTCTCCACTTTCCCATACACCGTGCTTCACTGAGCATTGCGTGACAACTTTCAATAGCTATCGCAGGTTCATAATCACTAATATTATATTAGCTAAATGCTTAACTAAATTGGCAGTTTTCACTGGACTTACTGCTGTCTACAAAAACAAAGCGCTGGATGTTGAAATCTACGGTCGTTTCTGTGATTAAGTCAGTCGAAATTGCCGGCATTAATGAGCAAAGCCATTAGGCCTAAACGATTAACAGCGAATTAAGATGGGTASACTTTTTCAGTCATGCGTGTATAACGGTTAACAAATTAGGCCCACCTAAAGGCTCAATGAAATTAAGCAGTAAGCTTATATTGGTCAGTAACGGCACCAGAAAGAGATTGGCTGTAATGAAAACAAATGTGCGTAGAAAAGCGATAAAGATTTGTGATACGCGGTGGAAAATTGGTATTTKTTAATATTCATTGGTTCAGAACCTGTGCTAGCATTTTAACGGTGTGTTTTCTGCCATTAATGTGACGCTTTAGAAGTAGTTTGGTTTGAATGGAGAGCCTAGTATGAATAATAAATTTATTATTTTTTTGAAAAAGGTAACTTCGGGAATGTATATATACATATGTCATAAGTGATCCGCTTGACGAGCTGTGTCAATCTAAAATTTGTCATGCGTCTTTTTCTACCAAGGAGTCGCTCCTTTGTCAGTGAACCGCCGACATCGAACAAGTCCTTATAAGGAAAACTTTTTTATTTTACAAGATATCTTCATAAAATTTTATGTCACTCATTTCCGAAAGTAATTGCATAATATACGAAGAAATTGTGCAGATCGGATCTTTATAGCCTATAGCTGCCATAGAAACTGATTGATCAAATTCAAATCTTTATATGGAAATTTTTTTTATTTGACAAGATATCTACACGAAATTTGACGTGGACTATTTTTCAAGTGAATAACACAATATATTGGTACATATTATTCTGATCGGACCACTATAGCATATAGCTGCCATACATGCTGTACGATGGAAATAAAGTGTTTGTATCGAAAGCTTTCTCATTTGACGAGATATCTTCAAAAAATTTGGCATGTATTATTGCCTCAGACGATGAGGCAATCCGCAAAGAAATTATTCGGATCGGACCACTATACCTCTTTGCTGCCATAGAAACTGTATGATCCAGCTAACGTTGCTGTATGTGAACTTTTTTGTTTGTGAAGGCTTTTATAGCTTCGGTGCAACCAAAGTCAAGAGTTTTTCTAGTTTTTAAGTTACACTGTAAAAGATGTATTTTTTTGGGAAAATAAAAATATTTCTATATATTTTGCTAGTATTAATTTCCCCTTCTTATATCAATAACATCAATTTCCTTTTCTCTTTTACCACTTTTTCAGCCATACTGCAACGTTCGACTGTCGATGTGGGACGCATCAAAATCCAAGGCGTTGCCACCTGCCTGTATTTGTGCATGGATGCATGTGGCGCTGTTTATGGCTCGGTAAGCTCAAAAACTAATACACAAATAATGTAAATAAGCGCACCAAGAGACTTACTTATATAAATACTTAGCCTATAAATATATATATATATATAAAATGTATGTAAATCAAGAAGTAATAAAAGGTTGTAGGCAAAAGGAAGCGGAAATAACTTGATCCTTTCAAGTCTTTGATATCAAGTGCATAGCAAAGAGGATATTCTTTTGTAATCAATTACTTAAATTCGTTTAAATTTATTTTCCTCCTTTTTTTCTTTATGCTGCACTCAATAGACTGTTGACATTCCTCGCATAGCATTGTCTTGCCGAAAAGGCATCAAATTTTCACAGTTCTAATATTTACCCCAAACAATTTGCCACGTCACAATCCAATGGCAATAAGTCGCACATAAGTACTCTTCCTTTTCATACGCTTTGTCTTTGCCCCTCTCCGTTATTTGCCTTACCTTCTTCATTATTTATTGCATTCCTTGTTATCCTTAAGCCGTTAAAAGATTGAGGTAAAATCGTCGCCATAAATTAAAATTCACGCACACGTTACCTATTGTAGGACATCTCATTGCCTTTATGTTGTTGGAGTTACTTTTTTCGGCATTTTTATGTGGTAAAGATGCTCTTAATTTTTTCACACGACAAAAGAGATGACAAATTCGAATGCAATAACGAAATGTACAATGAAATGCTTTGTMTCCATATTGTTTGAGTGTTGAGCTGGGGTGTTTCCAGCACATTGTCTTTGCTGCTATACTGATTTTTAGACTTTTTTCGTTGCTTGTTTCAGCATTTGAAACGACGTACTTAGGGTTAGATCGAATTGCACACATACTTACATTTTCAGAATTTACTTAAAAAATTACTCCATAACCTTAGCAGTAGTTCATAGTTATACTATAAAGAGAGGTTCTTTGTTGTTTGGCCGTGTATTAAGAAAAAACCTTAAAATTGGAGTTTTGGTAGACATTTTTACAAAAAAAAAAAAAAAAAATTAAAATTTCGCGACGAAAACAACTCCTTCGTTCGGATCTTTAAAAATTGTATCTTAAAGACCAGAGTAAAATTTCATATAGATCGGTTGAGTAGTTCTCAAKAAATCTTGTCAACCTACTTCAAAAACACAAAATCGAGAAAAACGCGTTTAAAAACAGTATACTTAGCCTAGTTAGCCTCGAGCGCACAAGTTCACAGGGTTGTATCTCCGAAACTTTTACTCGGATCAACTTGACTGATTTAGGACAATATTCTAAAGGGGTTATTGAATTTAATAAGATCATAAACAAAACGATTTTTTTAAACCCGTAAACCTATGTATCGCCTTGAACTCCTGTTAAAATCTGAACTATTACAACTTTTTTTTATTTTCAAAAAATTGTACCAAAAAGCACTAATTCATAAATTGCTACATATTCATATTGCTCAGCAACAGTTTTGTTGCTTAAGAACCAAAATACCAACAACAACCAACATAAGTACAACTTACTTGCATTCACCGAAAATTCGGGACAATTCAACACCGGCCAACATACGCCACTTTCTTCTAGCGCCGTTCTATCTTATCCGACTACACGCCTTCTATAGACATATACAAAACCTRCAACAACAACAGAACAGCGAAACGCGCCCCACACACCGGGCGCCATCGCTTGGAATTAAAGTATGAAACGACGACACTTAAACTGACAGCACGCCAAATCAAAACCGACAAACAAATTAACCAAATAAAAGCTAAACTACTAAAAACGCAGTGAAATAATTCAAATGCCATATTATGTAAGTATAATGCTGCTTATCGTAATGTTGCACACAAAAGCCTGCGAGCGCGTAACTTAAACTGTAATTATCATGTTGCAAGTTAGACACACCCTTGAGCCGCGTTAGTCTGGTCATATCAGGTGGTTTAAGTGTGTGTGTGTGCGTGTAAGCGGGCAGTAAATAAAAAAAATAACTCAGGTGCTGCGTCCACGTGAAAACAACATTAAAGGCTTATCAGCGCAAGCGGCCCAACGGGCAGGTGTGGTGCCACAAAGGTCACTTAAGCACTTGTTAAACGAAGCGATTACGCGCTTGTTTCTATGTATTTTCTAATGAAAATGTTCACATTGCCTAATTTAGTGCGCGTCTGGGTTCTGTCTAATTGAAATGGCAGGAAAAATTTTTGTTTATGATTGTSGTGGCGGCGCACAGCGGTGTTGCGACAATTTCATCGCCATTGGTGGCATATTGAGGAGAACAAACCAAAACAAGAAAAGCAAAAACGTGTGGCGACGGGATAAACGCGCCGCTGATAATGCCTCACAGCCTATTGGAAAGCAATTAATATATAGGCCGCATGGAAAATCCGAGGCGGGAAAAGCGAGCTTGAGTGAGGGGGAACACCCGCGGCGCGTTGAAAGCCACAAAGCGGCTCAACCATAGCCGATGAAAGCTGGCATCAGCCGAYGAATAGCACAAAGCGCAGAGCGTTTGAGTGCATTTAAGGGCAATGATACGTGTATTTATGACAAAATTATGCAAATAGCGACTGAGAAGTGTAGTTTTTGTGTTGCACCGAATTTTCACATTTTAGCTTGTTTGAAATTGATTACAGAAATGCTATTTACATGTGGCGAATATGGAAAATTATAACAGTTAAAAATGAATAAAAGCGAGTGATGCAGATATGCGTTTGATTTCATGTGTCATGCCATTGTAACCAAAAAAAAAAAATTCATAAAAATGAAAGGGAAACTAATTATGGGCATTCTGAAGTAGTGAAGGGGAATGGGAGCGTTATGGTTGAATTTCTAAAGGCTAAAAACGGTTTATGACAGGCAAAACTATGGGTCTTATAGGAAAAAGCTATGGCCTAAAATTGTACTTAAGAAAATATGTATAATTTTTGTATCAAAATCTTTTCCACATAACCTCAAAGTTTATATGCAAAATTTAAATAATCAAATTTTTGGCTTTTTTTTATAATTTTGTACAATAAATTTGTTCTTTTAATTAAATTGAATATAAACTTAATTTATTTGTCCTAAAGTCTTCGGTATTTTAATTTAAAATACTCTTTTGCATTCCTTATTTCGGCTCAAAATCTAAAAAGCACCAATTTTCAATCAAGAAACCTAACATCACGATTTCAAATCGTTTAGAAAAAAAAAATAGGTGTTATATTTATTGAAATTTATACTTTCTGATGCTGAAAAACTATATACATTACTATAGTAAGTTTTCTGAAAAAAAAAGCAAAACTAGATCCCATTTAGCGATTTAAGCATCAGTCGACTTAAGACATTTTGAAGTAGTCACCGAAAACAAACAAAAAATAATATACATATATATAATATATAATGAAACCATACGCAAACACTCTAAGAAAAGTGCTAAGGGCAAAAAAATAAATGAAAACTATGGCAGCGCTACTTTTTTAACAGTATCAGTTGCACATCCTGCATAAAAAAAAAAAGATTACAAACTCCATATGTGTATATGTATGGATGTTAATATACTTATGTAGAATCACAAAACTATTTCTACTATTTCTAAGTGTTGTAAATACAATTTTTATCAAATAGAAACAACAAGATTTGAAAAACTCACTAAAACGACGACAAGAACAGGCAACAACTGTCTCAGTTGTCACTTTCAACTGGGTCATGTGGCGCCCGGAAAAWGTGTCAGTCGATTATTCTTTTGCGGCACATTTAACAAAAATAATGGTGAGGCACAACGCAACACACATACACACACGTAGTGGCATRCATACATTCATATCTACATTTTGAGTTTGGAAGACACCCAAGCTGAGTCAATCAACTAGCTATTCAAGCGAAGAGACACTTAGTCAACTGCAAATGAGAAACAAGTGCATCAACAGCGAATTGTACTGCTTTTCAGTGCAACATATCCTTAATGCACACATACACATACACAGATGATGAAAAAAATGTTGAAGTTGCGCCGAAAGRACTGAATGTACTGTCACATTAATTTGATGCGCACAGCAGGACACCATTGTGGGGGACGGAGCCTGTGGCGATTGAGCGCCGAGACCAATAMGGATTGACAAAAAAATATACGAATTTCTAATACTTATTTCGAAAATGTTGCTTGACACACAGCTCTTCTGCTTACTAAACTACTCAGTGATTGCTATGAGAGCGACTTAATAGTAAGGCATATTAGTGAGGCTGAACTCGATTTTCAGATATTTGGAATATTTTTAATTTTTATGAAAAAGTATTACATTTAAATAGTTATAATTTAAGGGTATATTTATAGATATTAAAAAAAATTTTTTTTAAATAAAATTAACAATGATTCGATCTGCACGTGATCACCGACCCTACTGCGGGGTTTCGGCCTGTTACGTAGAARAAACCTAAAAACCAATCCTCTACTAGARTATATTGTCGACACAATGAACTATTTAGGGTCGAAAAACAAAAATTGATTATGTGKCCATATTTTTTAAAGTCGAGTTTTATCCAAACTTCTTTTTTGTCCAGTCAAAACTCGATTTTTGATCAGATCATTGTATRGAGAGCTATAAAAAGAACACTCAATTTGATAATAATCGGATCACTTGTCTCAGAATAATCAATCAATCTATGAAGAAGCTGTAAGTCTATCAAAAGGCRTGACAGCCAGCCCGTAAAACCTACCTAATCCAACTCAATCCAACCTAATCAATCCAGCAAATTTGAAAAATGTAGTTTTGCGAAAAATGAGTTTAAAGATAAATTGATTGAGCGGTCACAGGTAGAAGCCTGTAACTCATGAACTATTTGTTATATCGATTTAAAATTTGAAAATATTCTTCTGAGAGGTTAAACTTTTCAAAATATGACACAAAATTTGTTTTCTCAGGTGTGCCTCTTAATTAAGTTACATTGGCTTACGGGTTACAAAAAATCTATTTTTTATTGTCTTATTAAATTCTGCAACCACTCTGCAATATTGTCCTAAATTTTCAATTTGCTCCGAGTAATTGTTTAGGAGAAACAGCCTTGAGAACTTGG